TTTCAGTTGCGTATGGCGCGAATTGCAGCCCTTTCTCCCAGGCCTGGCCCTTTGGTTCTTGAATCTTCGGGAACTCCTTCAAAAGCTTCCATTGGCCACCTGGGACGCGCAAGTCCTTGGACTCCAACTGCAAGACACGGCCTGCGGCTGAAGAAGTTTTTTGATTTCAGAAATTGACGGGGTAAAGCTGGAGGTGGAGCACTTGGCGCCCATGTACCTTGACCCAGCCCTGGTGGGTGCCCATACCAATCCTGTATAGGCTTCTCATCATAGGCATCCCACCACTGATCTCTCTCATCTTCTTTCTGTTGTTTCTTGAAGTGGCGTCCCACTTGCCATGTGGAATGTTGGGACTGCACTAGGTCCCCTCTTTTGCATCTCAGGTGCACGCAAGGGTACCGAAGCATCTGGTTTTGGCTCACGGCTCAAGATATGGCTGAGGTGACCCTGGATCTCCTCATCTTTCGCCCGTAGCTTTTCACAGACCCTCACAATACGCTCCATAACTGATGCAAGTTCTTTTGATCGTCCATGCTCCTCCTCAACAGGCCTGGACTCAACTTTCCGTACGGTCTCCTGGAGATCGTGTATCCCCAACCAAATCTTATCCGACTGAAGTTTCTGCTGCTTCAGGAATGCGTCTCGCTCAGCCTCGGGCCATTCACCACCAGCTAAGCCGCGGGACTCCAAAGCAATCACACGATCACGAAGTTCACTCATCTGTTGGCTCATCGCCTCATGAAGAAACACCTGGCCTTCTATGTCATCGACCTTCTGTGCAAGGCGTTTCACACTCTCGGTCAGCTCATTCACGCGCTGATTCAATGCTCCGAATGCTTCACTAGCCTGGACATGGGCCTGACTGCTCTGCAATGCGGCATCGCGTAACTGATCAATTCCAGCTGTGGTCAATCCAGTTGCAAGCAGACTCGTGCGACGCTCCATCTCTAAACGAAACCCCTCAAGATTCTGTTGCACCTGATCTATGCCAGTCATGGCCACAATGTCCCAATGATTTCCCTCGAGTTGCCTCATCATTCGAACCACGTCGCCATTTGCTGTCCTAATCTCGTTCATCTGACGGATCAAGAATTCTGAGCCTGACATAACAATATCACTTGATGCCCCTCCGTCCTGGCCAGAAACAGGGGGACTATGCTGATGCTGAGCTGGTATCACAGATGTTGCGGAGTAATGGCCTGGAGCACTTGGGCTCATAACCTGTTGATCAGGGCTTCTGTCTGTGATCATGCTGAAGTGAGTTGGAGTCGGAGAAGGGAGACATCGAGGAACATCATTAAAATCCCCCGCCATCTGGAATACCTCTCTCCTCAATCCTCTCACCTTCCAGCCCCGAATCCTTGAACGAACAAGTCCCGCCGGTCTAGGGTACCAGGAAGAGGGAGGACTAGGGTACCAGGAGGGGAACGCCAATCCCCAACCCCAAATAACCCCAAACCCCATAGTTCACTCAGAAGATTTGTCGCATCTTGAGCCACAGTCAGTGGCATAGTTTATGGTTAAGACTGCGCCCAGCGATCTTCTTGATTGGTGCTGTCATCCTTGCGCAGGGGCCGATGCATGCAACAAGCAACATTTTTCATTATATTCGTTCCATCAGTTGGAGATCTAAACAGGGATGGAGGACGTTTGTTTTGATATCTTGGCGATATCTGTTATGCCGGTTGTTGTCCCGCAGCAATCAGCGATCAGCCCTGTAAATCTTTCGATTCTTTGGCCCGCCACCATGGTGCGGCTCTTACAAGCTTGGGAAGGCATCCCACGTGTTTGCAATGTATCTGGGAGCATACTATAGTATAGATTTTGGAAGTGAAGGTCACTGCAGTTAGGACATAGACCAGCAGTTACATGTACGATGGCCACGTGCGCCTACCGAAAGCTACAGAAACCATAGTATGCACTTTTGTGTGTGTGTGTGTGCTAATAGTCTGATATTGTATTCGATATTGTAATAATTATAGTATAGTTTATTATATTGTACTCCTAACCATGACCGTCATGGCATGTCGCCAAGGACTCTCGTCTTGAGAAGATGATGGTGGCGCGCTTGCAGGCTGAGGCAGCGGCAGTTGAGGCCTCAAAGCGTTCGCCACAAGAAAGAGAGACCGAGCGAAAGAAAACAATACAACGAACAACCAAAGAAATACTGGAACATAGAAAGAGAAAGAAAGAAAGAAGGAAAGAAAGAACGAAATAAAGAGATAAATAAAGAGCGTAGCAAAAAAGCAGAAACAAAAACTAGGAGTTCAAACAACACAGCAATAAATCTGTAACTAATGTAAAAATACGTCAGTAGAGAAAGAAGAAGGGGGAAAAGAAAGACACACCACATTCAAGAGATGAGAACCTAAAAAGACATTACATGATGAAGAGAAACAAAGAAAGAAGACACAAACGAGTCGTGACTGTGGCTCAGGTCCCTAGAAGAGAGATTGGAGTTTTCTGCGAGGAGCGAGTGAAAACAAACAGGAAGTGCCTGCCGTCTACCAAAATCTCTCAGAGAGTAGTTCTGCTTCCAAGAGGATATATACCCAAAGGCTGCCCTTGAGTATTTCCCTGAATGCGTGCCAAAGGACTTCGCTGGTCTTCCTGAGGATTGTCGGATTTGTCCAGACCTCGATGTCCTTCCCATGGGGTTCACATGGAGCTTTTGCTTGGTCCAATACATGGTCCTGGAACCTGAAAGGAGGAAGATGCCCGGGTCTCCCCTCGCCGAAGCCGAGAAGACTGCCTTCCGTGGTCTCATCGGGCAAATGGGATGGGTCACGCGTCAGTCTCGTCCCGACTTGATGGTCAACGTGAGCATGGCTGCGCAATCCATGGGAAGACCCACCGTGAAGGACGTCGTGAACCTCAACAAGGCGGTGAAGCAGCTGAAGGAGACCTGCGAAGCTAAGTGGTGTTTCAAGAAGAGCGACTTGAAACTGGAAGACAGCGTTGTCTTCTGCTTCGCCGACAGCAGCTTTGCCAACGTCGAGGGAGCCGAGTCACAGTGTGGGTATGTGGTTGGTCTCACGACGAAGGAGATCCTAAAAGGGGACGAGTTTCCAATCCGTCCTGGACTCTGGATCCATAAAGAGACTCTGCCGTAGCACCTTGGCTGCTGAGGCAAACGGCTTCCTGGCTGGAGTTGAAGCTGGGGAATTTGTTAGGATTCTCTTGAGGGAAGCGATCCAGCCGACCGGTCCTGTGTACGAGCTGGACGCGCGCTACTTCAAGGAGAAGATCATATGCTTCACTGACGCCAGAAGTTCGGAGCAGACACTCAACAAAGACGCTGGCCAGCCACAGGACAAGAGAGTCCGGATTTTGCTGGCCCAGGTCAAAGACCTTTTACGCGACTTGGGTGGATACCACAAGGATGCTCGCAGATGTCCTCACAAAACTGGGATGTGATCGAGAACCGCTTCTTGCTGCACTATATGATGGGTGCCTCCAACCCTCTGCAGAGGCAAGACACAAGAAGCTGGTCACCCAAGCAGGAAGGCATGCTCGGAAACCTCGCAAGTCCCAGGAAGAGGTGTCTCCATAGGTCTTCGCTTCTAGTTTTGCGCGGCCCTACCAGAGAGCCGAGGACGGGTGAAAATCCGCCTGTGCACTAGGACACCTGGAGCCTGAAAGCTTTGCTTCAAAGACCGTTCCGCGGCTGTGCGGCTCACCTGGATAGGGCGCCCTTTAGTGGAAAAAACTTCCGTCGTGTCTGCACGCCGCTGCGGGCATTTTGATGTAGTGTCTTGCGGCAGGTGATTTGGGAGAAGCCCCGCTACATGAAGGTTCATCACGTCACACAACCGTATGGCAAGAAGTTGAAGGCGAAAGCCGGCACTCAAGTCATCGACAGATGTTGGCGCCATCCGAGGGAGCCCGGCAATCCTATTCTCACCCGCAAGATCCGTTCTGCACAGTGGCACCGCCACAAGAATCTGCGGACGAAGACAGGAGAGATGATCCAGGCTCTTTTGTCGCGGTGAAAATGCCGCTCGAAAACAGTGGTGTTCGCCACTAGATGCTCTGGTGCAAATATTAAAGAGCGAGATAAAACACAAGACAGATGCTGTGAGAGGTAGTGCAAAGGAGAAAGCGACAGCATGTTGTATGTACGATGAGTACTATATTGCCTCCGCAGGTTTGTAAGCTGCTCTGCACCTTTAGCTTTCCTGTTACCTCAGTACACCTGCAATGTGGTGGTTGAAACTCTTGCCGGAAATTCGCTCGCAGATCGTGTCATTCTTGATGGGACGCTCACCGAACGAGACTCACTCTCCGACCGCTCCAGTGGACCATTGAGTGCTGATCGGCTACATGCCACCAAACGGCTCGACTTTGTTTAACTGATCACCTCGCTTCTATCGTAAAGTTCTTCTATCGTACAACAATAACCCAAGGATCCAGAAGTGATAGAGTAGAATGCTACCGAAGCTTGGTCTACAAGATCACATCTCGCGGGGAAGAGCTCTTAGAAGAAGAAGAATACCTGGTGTATAGGCCACTGCGAAGGCAGTGTGCCATGCAGGTCTTTTTTCCGAGGAAGCTGTACTGCACATGCTTCATGCGAGAGAACAAACTCAGAGAATCAGCAGCCAGGGTTGGTCAATAAAAGGGGGTTAGCTTATATGGTAATTGCCCTATTTGCCAACCTCTACTATGTTATGTCGCACGGGGGGAGCAAAACAATTCTGAGTTAATATTCATAAATAATGGACAAGGTGTCAATTAGCCCCAGAACCTCCGCCCGAAAACGAAATTTGGTTAAAGATAATGAATAAGAAAAAATTTTTTCAATGTAAGATGAATAAGGTAATTTTTCATGGTAAGAATGAATAAGAATGAATGAGGTTGATGAGCGGTGAACGTGAATCGTAGGCTGTGGTGGAAACCCCCAAAACCCCTGATTTGCAATCTTTTGGGGACGTATATGAAGTATAAGGTGTGAGGGAACTGTGGCGGGCCACTCTCCGCTCTTCGCCGTCCGCTCCGAGGCTCCGGGCCTCACGGAGCTGAAGTGGTCACGGGAGGCCGAGGTGCGGGCCGCGCGCCGCAAGGGAGCTGGGGGAAGGGCCGGGAAGAAGGCGCTCTTGGCCGGCGGTTTCGGCAGGTTCCCGACTTCATCGCCGTGGCCATGAAGGTGGTGAGCGACGTCTCGGCCATCGTCGACATCATGAAGGCCTAGCAAGGCCCTGGCCGCGAGAAGCGGGGCCATTTGCAGCTCAGGGCAATCTACGCAAGATCTCGGGCATCCTGTCCCAATGGTGCAAGGAGTCCATGCTAGCCGCTTACAGGGGAGAGCAGCTCTGGCGCCTCTGGCGCGCCCTGCCTTGCCTCTGAGGCTAGAGAGGAAGCGTGGGGCGAAGCCGGTGTCCGTCGAGGAGAGTCTTCAAAGCCAAAAAGCACATATTCAGAGAATTCCAGGCATCCTAGGCCTCGCAGTGCCAGGAATTCGAGCAGAACCACAAAGCCCGCGTGGGAGTCCGGCTGATGAACATGACAGCCCGGTCTCCGAGAACACCGGCCGGAGAAGGACTCAGAGCTTTCACGTTTTCGTTTTCTCAAGGATGGTGGCAAGGAGATCCACCGCCGAAGCCCAAAACGCACAAGCGACCGGGAGTCGCCCAGCGACCGGAGGGCCCCTCCCTTTCCCCGTTTCCTTCGCTGCCGAGGTTATGTGAAAGACTCGAGCGAATCCTTGAAGATCTCTAAGTCTGCCCAGACCTGGAAGGCCTGCCTTATAAGGCCTTGTGCGAAGGTCTGTGAATTCTGCGATCGCTCGCATGGCTCTGCGCAGGCCTATGTGGATTTTGTGAACAACGTCGTCATCGAGGGCTTCGTCTCTGCCATCGCCGTCTCCCTTCAGTGCAGCCGCCATCTGCAGCCTCCACCCGGCCAGTGTCGCGGGGTTCCTCCGTCGGAGGTACCTCTGTGAGATCTTGGATCCCTTGATCATCACCCGGCACGAGATGCTGCCCCTTTTCGTCCGACTCCTAAGGAGACGGCAGACAGCGCAAAGCCTTTGCTTCGATTTGTGTTTTTGGCGGCCCATGCACACTTTTTGGCTGAGTCACTGAGGATGTGAAAATCGAACTGCAGGGCGAAGAGATCGTGTTCGACCCACCCTTCGAGGCCGTCATCTGCTCTGCAAGCGTTGATTAAGCGATCTGTGATGATGCGAGAGCGAGTGCCAGGACGAGGATCTTCCCGGGCGCACGACGCTTCGGAGTACCATCGACGGCTGGCTCAAGGACTTCTTCGCCATGGCCACCGTCATGGCCAGGGCCCCCTGAGCAGATGAGCACGTCCTTTCATCACACGTTCGAGAGGTCCGCCTGGACTCCAACATGGGCGACTACCTGAACGAGATCAAGGACAGACGAAGCGAGCAACACAGACAGACTCTGTGCGTTGAAACCTGTAGGAGCACTTCCAGATGCAGTGCCTGCTCTCCATGGTCTCCGAGCTGTGCCTTGGCTGCCCTCTGCGGCGTCGCTGTGCCCTCTGCGCCCTCTTTTTTCCTTTGGGCTCACTCCTACTCGAGGATTGACAACACGGAGACCAAGTGCTTGGAGTACCGGGAGAACTTCATGACGCACTCCTTCCTTTGGACCGACAGCGCAGGGATCCCAGGCATGTCCACAATGAAGTCCCACACTCACACCCACACCCACACCCACACCCGCGCACGCACGCACGCGCACGCACACACATACACACGCACGCGCGCGCACGCGCACGCACGCACGCGCGCACACACACACACACACACACACACACACCAACACACACACACACACACACCACACACACACTCACACACTCACACACTCA